TAGATAAGTCTAACTTCTTCCTACTCCGTTCAAGCATGTACTAGGTATAAGCAAATTGATAATGCATTTGTGGATATGTGTGAAATTATGTGTGTTGACATATTGACTGTCTTTACATGTTTGAAAGAATAAATAAAAAAAAAAAGGTTTCTGAACTTCCCAAACTTGAATGTCATGATTTATCCAAATTACTCCTCCACCAAGGTTCTAATTGCTTTTGGACTTCATGTGTTATTTCTCTGGTAATTTAAGGCATTTTTTCCAAGTCCAACTTTGGAAGTAATAGCAATCAAGAAAACAGTTGCTAAGTGTCTTCAAGGAAAATTAAAATGTGCAAAAATGTGTATTTTTATAAGTAGTGGTCAGTTTCTATGTATACATATCAAGCTTTTTTCCCCCTAGACAACCCAACACACTCAGTTGTTTGAAAAAGCTCAATGACATATTGGACAGAGTTGCTCTACCAGCAGGTGTTTGCTGTTAGCAGGTTCCAAACATGTGTTTTCTGTTTAGCTAACACATTAAAGGCAAAAACTGTCTGAAGCTTTTTGTCTCATCTACATGCCCAGATAATTTAGCACAAAGTATTTCAAGGAGTCCACAATTTTTTAAGTGTCTTCAAGTTTGTGTTTAGAAGAACATAAAGTCTCCTTGGCTTTTGCATATGTTTCTAGTATCAAGAAATGCACATTTGACCACTGGACTGGAAAACTACTGACACTCTTAGTGCACTCTTAGTATCTGACACTCACTGAGTGTATGAGCAGAAGTTCCATGTAGAAGCGAGTTTAGAGGTACCTTTTGAGGCTGCAGTATCTTTACTCTCAGCGGAGCTCTCTGTCTTGTCCTTATCCTCACCATTGGCTTCATCCATTTCCTCCTTCACTGTGGTCAGCTCAGGCTCGCTCTTATACAGTCGATAGTCTGGAGCTTGCTGTGATAGGGGACACTGGTCAGGGTCAATACACACACCTTGTAGTAGCAGTTAGGCACAGGCACATACAGATGGGTGACAAATTAAAGAAAAAAGACTGAGTAGGATGACAGTGCCCCCATCCGCAGGGCACAAGGGGTCACTGAATGGTTTGATGAGGATGAGCATGATGTGAATCGTATGCTATGGCCTTTACAACCACCATATCTCAACCCAGTTGAAAAGCTATGAGAGATTTTCCAGACACTTGAAGAATAAATGCCAAAGTGCACTGAAGCTGTTCTGGCAGCACGTGGCAGCCCAACACTTTACTAAGACACGCTATGTTGGTTTTTCCTTTCATTTGTCACCAGTCTGTATATGTGCACATGTATGTATATCTACAAAATGCAAGCTTTTTCATTGGTTCTTTTTTCCTAATGTAGACATTTAATGGCTCATATGAACTTCACTTAAAATAAGTAAAAAATGAACCTCTTACAGTTGTTAATTTAGATCTTTATCATCACTGTTGTTGGGTGAAAACCTATCTTCTGAATGCCAACTTTTCAGGATCCCCCCCTAAAACAAGTTTCATGAACTTTTTGGTTTCTTTCTAGGACTTTTTTTTTATCAGGCAAACTAAAAATAAGGCCTTCATGAGAAACTTGTACAAAATAAATCACTGTGAGGGAAGAAGATAAAAAAAGTCAAAGGTTTTAGAGAAAAAGACACAATATTAGAAGAGAAAGTTGTAGTTCTACAAGAAACTGTCATTTTATTTCGAGTAAAAGTTATAATTTAATAAGCTGTAATATTCCTTGAATAAATTTGTAATTTTATAACATAAAGAACTGGGATAGAGTTGTAATATCATAAGAGCAGTTTTAACTAAAGTTTTACAAGACAAATTTGTAATATTTGAAGAAATAAATTTTATGAGAAAGAATGTAATATTTCAAGAATACAGTGGTAATTTTATAAGACAAACCCCATATTCTAAGAATACAATTATGATTTTGCAAAAACAACATTCAAAAAGTTGCAATATTTTGAGAATAATGTTGTATATTATGATTTATTTATAAAACCTTTTCTCCTTATTACGGCTATTTTAAAGAAAATATTATGACTTTAAAATCTCGGATTTTCTCTTTCTGTGACCTTATCACACTTGCACTAGGAATAAGAAGCAGTTCTGGGACGACATCTTGCATTCAGCAAATTGCAGAGAATGTAAGATACAAGTAAACAAGGCAGAGTTAGGCAGATGTGGCCTTAACTTATTTAAAAAGCGCCAAAACTTCCACAGTAAGAGTGTCAAAACAGAGAGGAGCCTTCGGGTACCATACACACTGAACTCACACACAAAACAACATCACCCTCAAGACAATGAAATTCCACCAATAAATCCATGTATCGACCACAACAGGCCCGAATGTGACTCTGGAGGAGAGTGACAGTGATGACTGAATGGAGTATGGGTTGCAGGGGTAAAAAAGGAAGAAGACAATGTTGAAATGAGTTACATCTATTCAAAATGACATTTGTGGAGGAGTGAGTCACTTCACTGGATGTTTACTCATCCCTTAGGGTGGAGCTGTGGTGTGAAAATAAATGTAAAAATGGTTGCACGTACACAAAACCGTCAGAAATGTGGGGTTCAGATGCAGAGGGTCAGCGTGCAAACTGATAGCAGTCACAGCAAACCAAAGCTGCAGATGGAGGGAGCAGGCACGGGAGGGCGTGAACGGTTCAGCGGTGCTTACGCTGTGTGCTCCATTCCTGGGGCCAGCCTTGCGGTCCTCAGGGCGGTGTATTGGGGGGGGCGGGCGGCCACTGGGGTGTGAGTGGTGGTGGGGCACGTGAGGGGGGCGCTCAGATGAGTCGTAGTAATGG